CAATTACCACAAAATTAACCAACAAAATTAACCTAAAATATCTAACCTAAAGCATTTACCATTTACCAATCACCACAAAATTAACCTAAAAACTAAAATACTTAAATACTACTAATTGAAGCTGCCATTTGGAAATTAGAATCAAGACAAGTAGAACTTAGGTCTTAGAAGTAGGCAGTAGCCAAGTAGGAACAGTCGAACAGAACAAACTTACAGAAAAGAGGCGAGACTCACTCGAGAGCACACAGCCACACACACTCACAGTCCACAGACATAGTCGGCAGTCGCAGGCTCTCGCCMTCTCGGCGCTCGCAGTCGGCACTCGGCAGTCGCAGCCTCGCAGGTCGCAGCCTCTCGGCTCTCGCCGTCCGCCATAGCGCCACTGGATCTGGTCYCGTCCGGCCACTGGATGAAGAACAGAAGAACAAGAAGAGAAGAAGAAGAACTGAAGGAGCTCGTATGCGGTAATCGATTTCGATTCGGTATGCGTATGTCTTCACACTCACACGAATCACACTTCACTCTTCACAGGCTCACAGCTTCACTCGTTTCTGATTCAAAGGGGCCTCTTATCTCTTGTTGTTGGGGGCCCAATTACATCTAACAAAAAAATACAAGTAAAAAAACAACTTTTGGGCTTTCCTATCTAATTTTTGTTGGGGGCCCAGGACCCCAACCACCTTCTCCTGCATCCGCCTCTGATGGCGGTTGACAACGGTGGTAGTTGTGGTGGTGGTGGTGGCGGTTATAGAGGACATGAAGATGGTAGTTGTAGTTGATGTAGTGAAGATAGTGGTGGTGGTGGTTATGGTGGAGGTGAGGTGGCAATGAATGGTGGTGGCCGATGGTGGTCGTGGAGGTCGTGGAGGAGGTTTTTGCAGTAGAGGAGGAGTTGAAGGTGGCGAACGGCTGTAGTGGTGGTGGCAATGGACGGTGGTGGTCGGTGGTCGACTATGGTAGAGGTGGCAATAGACTTGGTGGACAGTGGTTGTGGTGGCGGTAGAAAATGTTGTTGTAGTGGAAGAGGAGGTGGCGGCGGCCGAAACTAGCGGTGATGACCATTAAAACAAATACTATATTAAGATTATATATCAAACTATGGTAGATTAGTAACATTTTAGTTTGTATCTCATTCTTGTTCCACATATTTTAGTGGAACAAGAAAAAACTTATTTTGTCTCATGCTGTTCCATCTTGTTCCATGTCGCACCAAACGTGGGACAGTGAGTTCTTGTTATGTCTCATGATGCGCCAAATATGGGACAATGGGTCCTGTCCCGTCCCATGTACCAAATACAACCTTAAAGTTGATTAACATAGGGAATTTAGAACCAGGTAAAAGTTTGGAGGAGCGTTAAAAGGACGCGCCACCATATTGAGTGGGGGGAAATGTTGCAGTATATTGACGTTATAATTTTGAGCATCGGAGGAGGGAAAAGTAAAGATTCTGATGTTGAGGTGAGTTGAGGATGTAGGTCCCACCAAAGCATCAAGTGGGGCCCTTCCCAAAACGTATTCTATTCCCTTCTCTCATTCACCCCTCCAGGCTCCAACTTCACCTTATTTTACGTATACGTCACCTTCCAATCGCCCTCCTTCCCTTCTCACACGGTGTTAACACTTAACCATCACTTTTCCACTTTTTAACCAATTACACGAGACGGTAGTAATTATTGTGTATCGGGTTTGTTTGGTTTGCAAGATTGTTTTTAAAATATTTAAATTTGGATTGAAATGAATTTGAAATTATTGATCTGTTTTGGTTTGTAGGATTTGCAATGAAATTATATTTCATTATTTATAAAAAAACTATAAATAATTAAATTATATTTTTACTAATCGATTATTACAAAACAAATGTTTTTAACCTTTTTTAAAAACTTTATTTCATACAAACCTACGAAATCTCAAACACTCTCTAAGGATTTCAAAATCCTATGTTTGTAGGATTTCAGTTGCATCATAAGATTTCAAATCCGGACAATCTAACAAACCAAACATGAGATTGAAATAGATTTGAAATCCGGATCCCTTTAAATCCATTTCATTCCTGTAAACCAAATAGAACCTAAGAATCTTATAATTTAGGGAATCGTTTACTAAAGTATTGCCCGTAAGTATCTACTGACAAGAGTTATTGCCCACACTTATCTTATTATATAACATTATCGGTCATCAAAATAAAGTGTGGTAAGCATCTCTTACTCGGTAAGCGTTTAATGGGTAAAAGGTCTTCTATCTCATTTACCAGGTAAGATTCATGGTACTTGCTATGATTTTTACCGAGTAATCATCGGTCTTTGTCATGCTTACCAGTAAGGTAAGTGACGCCCAGTAAGCGTTTACCCGATAAGAGTTTGATAAACGACCCCTTAATGAGTTAAATTTATAACATTAATGTTCGATCTTGCTCAATCGAAAGTTTGATAGAATTTACTCATCGAGTATAATAAGCCAAGCATACACTCACATCCATCCAAACATATTATATAACCATACAATTAAATGTAAAATAGTTACTGGGTTGGAGGAATAAACGAGCTATATCTCATGTTCGAATCTATAAACGAACTTATAAAATCTAAATTATAGATTATATTATATAATTCAAAGTTATTAAATGGGCATCAAACCCGAACAATAAAAAAAAATGAACGAGCTAAAACACTATTCCAAATAGAAAACCGTGCTTGAACACGATATTAAAGATGAATAAAAAAATGTAAGCCCTAAGATTAACCTGGTCAAACCTGAAAGCCAATTGGTCAAAATTTTGGAGGCACTCGAAACCCGACATGAACCGATTAGGCCATTTTTTCAACCCAAACCCCGTTTGATCCGACCCGGCCTTGAAAATGACCGGGTTTTTTCTTTCTTTCTTTTCTAAGTGAAAACGAGCTTTGAAAGCCCTGATCCAAACTTGAAAAAGCCATTGTCTTGTGCATCTATACACGATATTATATTTTTAAGTTGAGCCTAGACAACCTGTTGCAGTCGACTTGGAATGAGATTAAATGGACTCCCTAATGCTAATTGAGCAGCCTGTTAATTTATAGTTACATATGCTACAACACAATGTCTTATGATTAAAAAGGATACTTTTAATCCTTTTTTAAAATGACCTATAAATACATGTACCATTGTTACATCATTGACATTTATGTGGGTTCACGTTTTAAATTAAAAAATAATATTTTTATTATTTTGTATTACTTTGATATGTTTTTATTGCTTTATTCACTTTTGCTGTTTATTAAAGAAAATACTTTTAAAGTATGCATTAATTATTTAAAAGTGATATTTTGACTATTAAGTTATTAATTTACTTGAGACAAGTTATTTTTTTTTCCTATTAACCTGGATATTCAATCCGTTATGTTTGTTTTTCAGGTAGTCTGGAGTCACCGTATTTGAACTTTCTTTGTCCCAAAATGATTTTTATTCGTTCTTGGATTTGAACATGGGATCTTCAGACACTTTTGACCTATAGAGCCAAACTCAAACCAATCATGCATTATTCTTGTGGTTGAGACAGGTTCATTTAGGAACACTAAATATTTTAGGAACTCAATGGCAACCTATTTTGTGAGCATTAATGATGAATGCTATTCATCATGGATATCTGTCACAACATTTATCATGAATATATTCTCTAAAATGAAAGAGAAATTATTTTTTATTCCTCCTACTGATTAAAATGTTTGAAAATAAAATATACAAAATAAAACAAATATGTTATAAAAAATAATTAAATATTTTAATAATATAATTTTTAAAATTAAATTTTTAATTAAAAATAAAAATATTTAACTTTTTTTTTTCTCTAACTAAAATTAAGGAAATTGATGGTTTGACAAGTTGGTGATCACTTTTTAACTAATTATTCAACTTCCATGAGTTTGCCTTGGTTTACACACCACTCTCTGTCCTCTTTTAACTCACCAACTCCTCTTCATAATAACCCCCACCCTTTTGCTTTACCCTTTCTCCCTACTCCCTACCCACCGTCCACCACCGCCCGAAAATGGACTCTGCTACCGTGAGAAAGCAATGCCGCCTTCAACAAAACAACGGTCTTGCATCTATTGCTGTCATAGAACCTGGATTCTCCTCCTCATCGTCATCGGAAAACCACCGCAATCGGAGCCGTTTGATCTCACGATCTCTCTATTCCTTTTCGTCTATAAGATCTGGAATGTTTTTCAATGGAAGATTCCAAGAACAACCACCACATTTCTTAGATGCTTGTTTTCTCTGCAAAAAACCACTTGGTTGTAACAGAGATATCTTCATGTACAGGTAATTTCCCTAATTCTTCTTCTTCTTTTGATTTCTCGTAACGAATTAATTGTGTAATCAAAAACAGCAAATCGTACTTCAGAGATCCAATTTTACTTTTCATCAAATCATCCTTTTTGGGATGATATTGTAAATCTGATCTGGGATCTTTCTATTCAGTTATAATAGAGTAAATTCTATCGGTCGAACAAAATCGGCTTTATGGGATGCCATAGATTGTTCAAGGTCTATAGGATTAAACTATAAAATATCTTAATATAAAAGCATTACAATGGTTTAACAAGTTTTTTTTAGAACACTTTATTTTAAAAATGCTCTATTAAACCGTAAGGGTGGTGCCTGGTTGGTTAGAGCTTGGCTCCAAAGGTCAAAAGTACCAGGAGGTCTGAGGGTCAAATCCAAGAAGGAATAAAAATCCCTTTGTGGCCACGAAGGTTCAAATACGGTGACTCCGGACTGTATCTGCAAAATAGGTGGTCGCCCTGGATTAGTCGGCTCGCACGGACGGCGGGTCATTTTAAAAAAATAATAATAATGATTTAATCTATCAGTAAAATTGAATAAAATAATTATTTCTCAGTCCCAACATCATTTTTTGAGAAGTGTTCCATAAACCCATACATTTTTAGACGACGCCTGTGTTTTTAATAGTTTCAAATAAAATAGTTAACACGACATTTTATTTTAAAAACATCTTAAAATTTGTTTAAGACGGTTTAAAAACGTCATATAACCCTGTTATAACACTTTTAGAAAATACCATTTTTTATTTGATCTTACAAACTTAAGTAGATATGGGTATTTTGGTAAATTGGCAGGGGTGATACACCATTTTGTAGTGAAGAGTGTCGAGCAGAGCAGATTGAGATGGATGAAGCGAAAGAGAAGAAAAGGAGTTTCTCTGCATCAATCAAAGCAATGAGGAAGAAAGAAGAGAGTGAGAAATCATCTAATTCTTCCCCAAATTACCCTTTCCGTTCTGGAGCAGTTGCTGCCGCCTAATTACGTTTTTTTATTATTAAAAAAATAGAAAATATATAAATGATAATCAAGAATTAAGTTTGTGGAAAAATTGTAAAAAAAAAAAGTTATTGGTAACTTTTGTTATTTTGTGTCAATTACATGTCTCTCCCTCCTGTTTTTCACTGTGGTGAAGGCATGTTGTAGAAAATTGGGGGTAATTATGGAAATTCGATTACCATCCAAGAAGAATCTAGTAGATAATGTATGGTACAAGTAGTTGATGCATATGGTATTGTACTTTGCTATTTTGTACTTGTGAGTATTGCATGATGCACATGGTACAAATAACATATTTCGTCGATTTTTGTGTTTCTAATATATATTTCTTTTAATTTAGTTTCCATACTTTTGTAGTTATATATATATAAGATTTTCGATCGTAAATTAATTGTTGAGCTAGTTGATGAATTAAATTTAAAATAATTATAAAAATATTAAAAAAAATAATCAATTTTAATATTTTATAGTATATACAAGGCAAATTAAATAATAATAAAAGAGTAGTCGTATAATACAACGAAATATATTTCAATTTTAATGTTTTGTTTTATTTTGTCATTGTCAATAAAATACAACTTTATGTGGTTTTAAGAAAAAAATAATGTTTTTATTATTTGAAAAATATATATCGATATTAATATCAAATTAAATATATAATTTTTTTATTATATTTTAATTTAGATTTAGTAACGAGCTAATGTTTTTGATTTAATAATATAATTTTTATAAAGATAATAATTAACTATTTTATTAGAACTGGATGATTATCCTAATTATATCATGTATTTTTTATATTTAAAATGAGATGTTATCTTATATTTAATTATGTTTATCTGCAGTTAATTATACGAATTCAAAATAAGTTTTAATAAATTGTATTTATACACAACTTATTTGTGATCTTAAACTTTAAGTAATATGCATCAATAAATAATACTTTATGCATAAAAAATGGGTTTTAAGAATTTTTATCAAATACTTTATAATATAGTTTAGATAATACATAACATACATGATGGTAAAAAATTAAATAATGTTATATGTTATTT